TTTTTTTATTTAAATAGAAAACATGAATAAAGCTAATCAGTGCACACGACAGTTCTATTGTCTTCGCTTCTGTTCAGCCCTTCTTCTTCTTCTTTCCTTAGTACGGACWCCCTTTTACCTTATTGGGTCAGTGTAGTTAATGTTTTTCTCTCCTTCCTGTGTTCCAAAGACTGAACTGGGTCCTAAAGCTTCTTCTGCCTGAGACATGACTAAGTATCATTTGTCAGTTGGTTACAGCAGAAAGCCATGTATTTCTGGGTTTTTTTTTTCGGGAGAGGGGACTAATTATGAGATCCCTAGTTAGCTAACTTAGCTTAGCCCTCTCAAAGAGGGAAAATTGACAAGAGGAAGCAAAGCTGCAGAATTTCGAAAGGTGTTTTGTTGTAAAAGTAAAAATATCAACACAAGTCGCATTCATTCAATGGGTATTACTGCTGAAATCTGTAAAAGCAATATGAGTAAGCACCATCAAGAAAGAAAACAGAGGGATGATCTACATCAAACATGGGAAGACTATGAAGGTCTTGCCTTCTCGAGAAGAAAAATAGATAAAAAGGAAGGAACAATTCAATTTATTGATGCTTACAAAAATGATCGGTTTGGAGTGGGGTAAACAGGTCGAAATCTCCATGTATCGGACGTGAACCCAATACAAGCCACCAACTCTCCCAAGTGCTGCCACTCGGACCGAGTGGGGTTTATCATGACATCATCTCCATCGTGTCCTGAGTCTCCTGACGTTTCTGCTTCAAGCACTAACAAGTTCTCAGTTCTCACTTCTCAGTTCTCACCCCATCCCTCTTTTATGGCTTACAAGTTACAACATTTCTCTTATTTTGTTGTTTAATATTATTTGATTATTTCTGTATATTAATTGTTTCTAGATAGAGAGAAGAAACAAGCCACTTCTGCGGTTCTACCTTGTTCAGAAACAGTAGAACCAACAGTTATAAAAACAGTAAACACTAAAGATTGTTATAGAATAAAATGGTAAAGAGGACTCACCGCCGCCGCCGGTGATTGTATTCGCCGGAGAGTTCGCGGTGAATAGGTGACTATGGTCTGTGAGCTGCGAGCTTGACCTGCGATTTTGAATCACTTGATCAGTTCACGTCTGAGAAAGAGAGAGAGAGAGAGAGAGAGAGAGAGAGCTCACCACCGCCGCCGGAGTTGTTGCGTCGGTGAACGTTCGCCGCCTCGCCGGTTGTGGCTGCCTGAGAGTGTGAGAATGAGAACAGTGCACTGTGGAGGATGTGGAGAACTAGAGATTGGAGATGAAGGGTCGGCTGAAAAAAAAAGAATGGGAAGAGACATAGATGTCTCGACCAGGGGTTTTATTTAGGTTTAAGTATAGGTCGGGCCGGGCCGAGCTCGGGCCAGGCTATTTTGGCAAATCCCGAGCTCGGCTCGAATTTATTGCGGGCCGGGCTTTTTGGCCCGAGGTTAAGCCCGCGGGCCCATATGCTTGTTCAAGCCCGTTCGGGGGCCGGGCCGGCCCGTCGGGCCGCCCGGCCCATGAACATGTCTATCGGCGACGCACACGACTAATAAGGAGTATCCTGCACAGGCAAGTAAAAGAACTCCACCGAGGAAGAGCAAACCTCTCGAAGACCTCGGTGGATGCCCTCATCTCGATAACCCAGGGAGCCCTATCCATCTTGAAAACGGACACCCAATTATAAATAGATATTCTCCACTCGAGGTAAGGGACCTTTTTTGGAATGACACTCTTTGAATACCTCTTTGCACTCTCTCTTTGGCCCGAACCAGCACTATTTCAACTTGCTAGGCTCAGCTACATCCTTCTCGATCCTATTGACTTGAGCGTCGGAGTACCTACTTGTGGAACAACTCCTCAGCCCTCATCTCGATAACCCAGGGAGTCCTATCCATCTTGGAAACGGACACCCAATTATAAATAGATATTCTCTACTCAAGGTAAGGGACCTTTTTTGGAACGACACTCTTTGAATACCTCTTTGCACTATCTCTTTGGCCTGAACCAGCACTATTTCAACTTGTTGGGCTCAGGTACATCCTTCTCGATCCTACTGACTTGAGCGTCGGAGTACCTACTTGTGGAACAACTCCTCAGTCCTCTGACCTTTCTCCTAGTTGCAGATCTCGATGTACGACTTCATCCTTCCACCTCAACTTCGTTCAGTTGATAGGACTTTGATTGTATCCTTAGTTTGGAACACCTCGGATCGGACAGCATCAACTCCTTTTCAAAAAGGGCATGGAGTGAACAAGAGATTGATGTCTTGCCAACATGGGAAGTGAGGTGTTGAGAAAGGGTAAGATTGGTGCTGTCGAAGCTGACATGGGAATTGAGGATTTGGATGAGGTCCTCTCATTGGTGCTGTCCTCTCATTGTATTAGTGAAGTCCCTCTATGTTTCCCAGCATAGTCAGGCCCGAGTGCTTTCTAGGACCTTTTTCTCCATCCCAGCTGTTGTATACAACTCTTTGTATACATAAGTGCATTGTGGGAAACGTCAAATTCATGTTTGCACAACAACAGTTATAGTAGCATTTTCGTTTTTCAAAGCATGGTCGTTTATTATTCATTTTTGCACAAAATAACCCAACCAAACAACATTTTTGAGAATTGGGACCTGCTCCTTACACTGTCCTCACAATCACTTCCCACCATATAATGGGAACATCTGCAGAATTGAGATCCGCTCTTCACAAAGAGCATCTCACATCCAATCCCCCACTGTATATTAAGAACATTTTCCTTTGAAGGTTCGTGTGAGAAGCATTCTATGAGAAATAAATCCAGAATCGTTGGGAATTGGAATCTATTCCTTATAAAGGGCTTTTCATACTAATCTTACAGCCACATCCCAGTGAATTCAGCCAGGCCTTTTTGTAAAGACTGGGCTGAATCCATGTAAACTTAGAACGGATTAGCAGGGTTCAGAAATTGTGGAAACATTCTTCTTCAAAATTGTTGAAGTCATATCCTTTGAGAGAGAGAGAGGGAGATAAATATAAACCTTGAGGTCTAGATCTCCTCGATCACATGGGCTGAATAGCATACTCTGGTCCTGGTAGGCTGCTGGTAGGACGCAAGCAGGAGATTAGGAGGGAGGTGCAGACCAAGATGACAGATAGAAAGTTTAAACGCGGCGCAACCGTCTGCACTTGTATTTTCGTCTTTCTCCTCCTAGCCGGTGTTACAGCTCTTATAGTATGGCTTGTATATCGTTCCCATAAGCCTCAATTCACGGTCCTGGGCGCTGCTATCTACGATCTTAACACGACAGCATCCCCGATGTTGATGTCGACCACCATGCAGTTCACAGTCGTGACTCGGAACCCCAACAAGCGAACTTCCATATATTATGACCGGCTATCGGCTTATATTTCATACAGGAATCAGGCAATCACGCCCCCGACAATTCTGCCACCGCTGTTCCACGAGAGACATAGCACGGTGACGTTGTCGCCGATGCTGGGAGGGGCGATGGTGCCAGTATCGATGGATGTGGTTAATGGATTGGTGATGGATGAGGCGTGTGGGGTAGTACCCTTGAGGTTGGTATTGTTGGGAAGGTTGAAATGGAAAGCTGGAGTGTTTACAAGTGTGCATTATGGGGTATACATCAAATGTGATATGTTTGTGGGTTTGAAGAAGGGTTTTGTGGGTCAGGTGCCTCTGCTTGGGTCTCCGGATTGTAGCGTCGATATTTAAGTTTTTAATGATCTTTCTCTTCTTCGTTACTTTTCTTTCTGCATGCAATTGGTATTATGTAGTAGTATATATGAAGGTAAAATGGTTCCCCCTGTCTCTCGTCTCTCTGCCACACTGCTGCTTAAAATGGGTATCTCTTCGATCTCACTCTCAATCTCAGAGAGATAAGTTATGTGGTCGATCGATGAAATACAAATAGAATTATTGAAATTCTACTTTTGCATGCTTCGTGATCTTGTTAATAGATGGTTATCGATCAGTTATCACCTAGCTATCAGCATCACCAACAGATATGCTTTCTTTAGTTGTAGAGCAATACAAGCAAACTGAAGAGGCATGCATGACCTTCACAATCAAAATTCCTTTTGTTTTGTGAATTAATAAGGGATTCGTGACGGCCGGGGTGTCCTAAATTTGCTATCTTCAGACTTGAGGGTATTAGTAGTTTCTTAGGAATTGTTGTTTGAAGTTGGAGAGGAACGATATGAACATCGGTGAAATTTGAAGTTTTGAACTGAATTAGCTTAATTAATGAATGAAAAACGTAACTGGACAGAGGAGGGGAAGATGCTGGGATTGTCATCGCATCGCACACCAGACTAATGATTAAAGTGGTGGACACTGACTGGACAAGGTATCCGATTCATCTTTTTAGTTGATGCGTTGATTCCAAACCAACGTCGCATCCCCAACCATATCATATATATTTGGGTTGTTCTGAATCTGATTCCTTCACTTATTAAACATTAATTGGGCATATATGCTCGGATGGCTCAACCTTCTCCGTGCCTTTGCTTTGCCATGGTAGATGGTAGAATCGTGGGACATCATGACTACTCCAATCAAACAAACACATACAACTCCACTGTGCAGAAGTCTAGGTCCATTTTTCTTCCATTACATTCTTATATTCATAAATCCCTGTTTTGTTCAGGGGTTAATTATCCTTGTTTTTTCTTCTTTTGTATGGTAAAATGGATGTGCTCTTTCAGTTTGACATTTTCCCACCTTTTGAACTTGCTTCAGCACTTTCAGTAACACCAGAAAACTGGACATATGAGAAGGGTGGAATCATCCAGGAATTATGGTCTTTCTGAAATATGGTCAAATAATCAAATGGCATAATTTTGGATAGAGAGGAATCCAGGTACTGGTAAGTGGTAGGGACTAGAGGCCAGTAGCCATACATATGTTTAGCAGTAAGCATAAATTCCCTAAAACACTATTCCTCCTAGACCATATCATGATCATTAAATGGATAAATTCCTTCTCTAATGAGTTATGATCAATCCAATTAAATTATGCTAACTATATGATGAGTTTCTTTTTTTTATTTGTATTCTTTGCTTTCTTGGATGGCCAATGATTTTTTCTTTTTTCAACTCAAAACTATATTATAGTTAAAAGATCATCCAACCATTTGCAATTCTGTTGTGAGGCAATTTCTTCAGCTATTGATCTCATAGAGGATAAAAATCGGAAGGAAAGTATTGCTTTGTAATGGAAATGCTTACTTCTTTTTTTCTTTCTTTTATACTAGTAATTTATAAGCAATGGTTAATGTGTTAGATAGTGTATGCTCTTAGCTCCAATTAGATTGATGTACAGATACATTTATTGCAAATGAATAAAAGTACATTATTGTTTCATGTTGATATTGGTATGTTTCTATGAAATTACCATTTAAACTAGACACTTATGAGACTCGTGTTAGTTTAGAATGTTCTTAGCCTTGATAGACTTGGGGGGTTTATCCTGCCAAGACTGACACTAATGTGTTGCCAAAGAATTTGGAGCAGCTTGTCTCAGTTGCTAGGGTAAGACCCGAAGCACATGTAGTGTGTATTTGGTTGAAATATTGAACCATGACCATTTTCCAGTTATGCCCAGGACCTTGGAGATTGATGGAAAAAACTAGAAAGTTACACCTAACCCCTAGACTTGATTATGGTACTGCACTAGGTATCGGATTAGGCCATCTTTGATATGTCAATCAGTGAGATCCTTTATAAGTCAAAACCTGTGTATGTAGGGGCAGTTTGTGAATTCACTTAAGTGGGTGATCATAGTGATAGGATTGGCCCCTTTGTCGGACAAAGTGAGTGATCGGGTTTGCACTCTCTCAGATGGAAACTTAAACTGCTGGCAGTGGATTTTAATTATGTTTGAGATTTGGTTTTGCAAAATATATTTATATGATACATATATACATATATATATATATATATATATATATATTATGTTTTATGAAAAATGTTTGCAAAAAGTTTTAATTCTCTAGATCCATCCGAGCAGAAAGTGTGACACTGCACCTTCCAACCAGGGGAGAGGTCCTTCTCTATCGAGTAGTGTTTGATAATTATGGGCTGAGAGGTTAAGTGTAAGAGACCATTAAGGGTTGAAACCCTGATGGGCTTTATTTTACTTAAGTTCATTATGCTTGGGTTTTCCTAGGATGGCTGAATTCAATGATCATTTAACTATAAATGTTGGTCCCATTTTGAGCCCATAGTGATGAGCTTAGGGGTTCACTACGTTTAGCAGTGAATTCAGCCAAGACATTTTGTAAAGGCTGGGCTGAACCCATGTGAGCTTAGAACTGTAGGCTTTTTGTTCAGAAATTGCCGAGTGCATCTTCCTCAGCCCCTAGTGTCGCTCACTTCTTACACACTCTTCTACCATTTCGAGTTAGGGTTTCAACATCATAAAAAATCCAGCAATACATTGAATCTTTGCACGCAAACTCTGCAACACCTTCATTCTTAAGGTCATAGGAGGTAAAATCCATTACCTCATCTTCTTCTTCCCTTGCTTGATGTGGATTTAGTAGTTCACTAGTGTAGTTTAGTCTTCCATTTGCTTATCTATTTATCTGTTTTTATTCTTTTTTGTCAACTTGCTTGCTTTTGGTGGTCATTTCTCATTGGTCTAGTTTTGCAATCAGAGTATTCTCCGGTGACCGAGAGGCTAGCGCATCTCTTCACTCTTCAGACTAGTTTACTAAGTCCAAAGGTGGGGATTCTGATAGAAAAGGGGTGAGGGATTCCTCATCCTTTTGCTCAGGCCCCTGCAACGAAAAGGGAACTGGTCTGGAAGAAAAGAAAGAAACACTATTTTCCGTCGAGTTGCTAGAGAACCCGATTCTTGAAGCCATCTCAAGTGAAGAAGGGAATCTGGTATTCACACTAACAAGAGAGAGGGGTGCCTAACCCCTTCCCTCTCTCTCTCTCTCTCAACTCACCCAGAATAGTCTTATCTTGGTTGGATGGTATGGAGTCACTATTAATCCCAAAATATTTTACCAAATGCAATTTCGAGAGACCCATCACTCCCAGTTATCTTACTCTGATGGGTGGTGACTCCATTCATCTGGCCATGGAAGTGAATAGCCAAGGGGAATTTTCCTGACGTTCACACCCTTATATAGACATCAGGGAGAGTCGTTGACCTCATTGCTTACAGGTAGAGGTGTAAATTGGGCCATTTCGCCCACGGCCCAGCATAACCTAGCATGAACATGGACTGGCCCAACACGGCTCGGGCCTGAGCCATGGGCTATGCCGGGCCAACCCCCAAATTTTTCACCAGGGAGGGTGGCACGACCCGTGACAACCCGCGGGCCAGCAACTCACACTTTGCATGGGCCATCCATGGGTCGTGTCGTGCTGGCTCGACATGACCTACTTTACACCTTACTTATGGGACATGTGTGAGTTTTTGAGTTAATCTATACTATTAGTCTTCCCACTAGTTCAAGTTGTGGTCCAACCCAAACATAAAATGTGACCACATCACTTGCCCTTACTCCTGAGGACGAAGCGTAGTTGAGGGAGTACTTCCTTGACTTAGTTGAGGGAGTACTTAGTTACTACTGTCCTGGATTAAGTGGTCCTAGGCTCCTACAAGTTACAAAACCTGTTTGAGAGGTTGGTTGGTGAGAATGAGAATTTCTATGCTTGGAAGTAGGGTTAAGATTTTGTGCCCTACTGTCACGGGGGTAGTTCTGTAGTGGAAGAAACCCGTGCGGCGTCTAGGCCAAGGTAGGCCATTACAAACCTATTGTATGCTTAGGGCTAGGAGTTGCCCGATGAGATGGCTCCACCAAGGTCAGTAGCATTGGATCATGACCTCAAGGCTCATGACCGGGACACTCGGCTGGCTCTTGCCGGTCCATGGGAGGTGCCACTTACATGATAAAGGAGGATGACCATGATGAGAGGCGACTTGGCGCCGATGTGAAGGGTCTCCTGTATGCTGATGATGTAGGCACCTGTGGGCCGATGATGATAGGCAACCGTTGGGCCGGAACACACCCGTGCGCTATGGGCAATGGGATAACTCATTCAGCTTGGGCAAGGGGATGGCATGGTGAAGGGTCATACTTGAGCCAGGCCCGCATATCAAGCCTCCCTTGAGTGTCGGTAGCGCAATGCCGGTCCATGCACTGTCCCCATGAGCATGTGTGCGTCCATGAAGAACCCTGGTAGCCCTTTTATTTGTTCTAACACTTCTAATATTTACTTTTTATCTATTAGAGACATATCTAATGACTTGAGGCAACCTGTGAATTGCATTTCAATGCCAAATGATGGTAACTGCATATTGGATAGTTGCTTAGACCGACTCTGCATCTTTTGGACAGGTAATGTCTTGTGGTTATTTTACGTAAAATAGATGTAATTTATATTCCATTTGTCCATTTAAATGGATGTTGATTATGATAGGAGTACTAGGGAACTATTGCAAGAATACCAGGGCCATCTTTGCAAGTTTTGATGCCATAATTTTAGTGTTTTTTCTAACTCATCTATTTTGTAGATTCTAAACCATTTTCCACCATTTATTCCATCCTTCATGGTAGTGTTTCTATGTATTCATAAAAAAAAATGGTAGTGTTTCTATGTAGGGTGATGGGGTTAATGCAATTTTGGGTCCCCTAATGCAAATTTGGTTTCTCTTACTTAATGGTCTTACAAGATGGATTGTTGCCTTACCAACAATGAAGCCCATGTATGGTGGACCTGAGGATAGCTTCATTTCTTTTGGGATCTTGTGGGTGCATCCTTAGTGTCATGCTTTTGGGCTCACTACTCAGT